CACAGCTCTTGCCAGCCGAGATGGGAGTTTAGCTAATAATCCATATTCAGGTTAGTTGGCTCCGTGGGCAAGAGAGGGAGGGGATGGGCTGGCCTGTAGCTAGCCATAGAAGACCAGAAGGGCTGAGGTGCTTGAGCTGTCAGTTAGACCTAACAGCTAGCCTGGTGTTCTTCTAGGTGACGTCACAAAGTTTGGCCGAGGAGACTCTGCATCCCCTGCACCTCCAACAACACCAGCTCAGGCACAGCAGAGTCAGTCTCAGACCCACCACACAGCACAGCAGCCGTTTTTGAATCCTGCTCTGCCACCTGGGTACAGCTATACCGGCCTCCCCTACTACACAGGCGTGCCCAGTGCCTTCCAGTATGGACCCACTATGTTTGTGAGTATTTTCAGATCATTCCTGGGGCTTTGTGTCCTCAAGGCTGTGAAACCCTGTGCAGTTTTCCGGCATCTGTCAGCAGTGGACGAGTGTGGCCACAAGCCCCATTGCCTTACATTTTTGGCCTTGAGGATTGCTCGGGTCAGATTCTGTTTCCCGGCTGCCTTTATCCATCATGGATTGCTCTTAGGAAAATGCTGGTTCTCTTGTCTGATTTAGTTTTGCCAGAGGCGCAGAGATCTGTCTGCTCTCTTTGCCTTACTCTTACCTGCCCGTCCCACTAGGTCCCACCGACTTCAGCAAAGCAGCACGGTGTGACCCTCAGCACTCCCCCTACCCCTTTTCAGCAGGCCAGTGGTTATGGACAGCACACTTATAGCACAGGTAAGGGCATACCTCCCTAATAAGGGGCACAGGGTCAGACAAACTTGCTTAGCCCACACATGCCTTTTGTACCCTGCCATGTTAGGTTATGATGATTTGGCCCAGGGGACAGCGGGAGGAGACTATTCCAAGAGTGGCTATGGTGGATCATCACAGGCACCAAACAAATCAGCTGGATCTGGGCCTGGCAAAGGTAGTGTCGTCTCCTCTCCAGAACTAGGACCTGCAATACTTGTCTCCTCTCTGAGGCAGGCAGCACTGCTGTGGGGCCTCTAAAACTGGGACTGAATGCTAGGGGGAGCACTTAACTGTCTTTCCTCCTAGGAGTATCAGTATCTTCAGGCACCACTGGCCTACCGGATATGACTGGTTCTGTCTACAATAAGACACAGGTGAGGGCCTACGAAGGCGGGCAGGTAGATGAGAGAACAGTTGTTCAACCTGAGCCTCTCATTGTCATCTCTGTTCCTACAGAACTTTGACAAGCAGGGATTTCATGCAGGGACACCCCCACCTTTCAACTTGCCCTCTGCCTTGGGCTCCACTGGGCCGCTGGCCCCTGGAGCAGCAGCTGGTTATGCACCCGCACCGTTCCTGCATATCATGCCGGCCCACCAGCAGCCCCACTCCCAGCTGCTGCACCACCACCTACCGCAGGATACCCCGGTGAGCGCAGTGATGGAGGCAGCCTCCCTACCGTGGGCCTGGGGTTCTGTGCCTGCCTTTATAGCCTTGTCTCCTCTTCCTCCTCAGAGTGGCTCTGGTCAGCGCAGCCAGCCCAGCTCCCTGCAGCCCAAGTCTCAAGCCTCCAAACCCACCTATGGCAGCTCTCCATACTGGACAAACTAGACCCTGAAAAAAACAAGGGTGGGCTCTTGGGCAGGAGAGAACACATGGAGCACATTTCTGGGAGCCCGGTGCCCTTTCCTAGAATTCTGAGACCTAACTGTTATCAGCTGAGCCTCTGTGGGAAGCCTGCCTCCCAGACCCACTGTTGTATGTGATGTATTTATGTATGTGTTTGTAAATGTGATATAAGCCTGGAGGAGCTGGGGTGGCTACCCCAGGAGCACACGAGTGTGCTCTCCCCATGTGGACACCCTCACTGCAGCTAAGCAATCCCCACCCCTTCTGCCTTCTGGCCTCCCATGTGGCTCCCAGCTCAGTGGGCTATTTGAAGGACTGCTGGTTTGGGGACTGGGGTCAGGTACCAATGAAGAATCACGACTTTTCTTTATCTCGCTCGCTGTGAACCATTGTTTCTTCCCTCTGTAATTACTTCATATTGTTTTTGAGAAACGGATTTTTGTCATTTGTCATGGTCCCCATTCCAACAGATCTTAATCTGGGAATAGCAGAGATGACCCCTGTCCAGCATAAACCCGTCTGCCCGCACAACAAGGCCTTCTGGTCTGGCCCTACCCTAGGGGCTTGCATTTGACCAACCATTTAAAACAGAATCTGACCTGGGTCTCAAGATGTTCAGCCAGTCAGCTCCCATGAAAAGAAATCAATCTGTTTCCATCTCAGTGAAAGCCTGTTTCCAAACAAAGGCTGCTCCACACCAGTTGTCCTGAACCTGGCGGGCAACTGTTTCAGGGTTTTCTCTCATGCAAACTCCACCTAATAAAGTTCTGAGAGCATGCTGGTTCTCTGTGTACTGTGACTAGGGATGGTTTGGGAGTCACTGGACCTCACAAGGACAGCTACCTTTCTCTGCATGCCTAGGCTGTGCTCGGGAAAGCTGATGTGCCTTTTCAGGCCATCTGGTCCGGAGAGCAGGAGTGCCAGGGGTAGTCCAAACCCCAAGTGACCGATAACCTGGAGGGAAGCCAATGGACTATTATTACTCCAGGCCCCAGAGCTGCCTGTGCCTGCCCCTTGTTTCTGCTGACAGTGGGATAGGTTACCTACTGAGTCGGGTTGGGGCGGGCATTATCCTCAAGTGTCACAGCTCCAGCTCCAACTGTTTCAGACTATTCTATGTAAGAGGAGCACACACTTCATTCAAAAATGCTCTGAGTTTTGGGGCTAAGGGTGTAATCCCTGTAATCCAGACCTAGGCAGTGTTGGGATTAGCGAGTTTGAAGTGAGACATATCTACCAGAAGTTTGGAGGATTTGGGGTCCACAATAACAGACATATCTGCTATAGTCAGGAGCAGTGGTCAGCCATCAGACCTCTGTAGCTGTTGACTCATGTAGTTTAGGATCCTGGCCAACTGAGGCAGGAACACCCCTGTTTAGTCTCTGCTTCATGAATGAGGGAACTGAGCGAGTAATCAGTGTTTGCTCCAGGGTGGTAACACCCTTCAGTAAGTTAAACAAATGGCCTTGACTTTAATAATCTTCCTTAAAAGAGGTTATTGACTTAAGGTAGTCTCTACAAAAAGGTCCCTGGAGCCCAAGTAGTGGTTTTAACTTGTTAGCTGAGACCTGGCTATTGTTGGTGTGTCGGGGGGAGTGTGACCCATGGGTAAGTAGCAATACAGGTATATTTTATTTCACATTTTTTATTAGACAGATGGGCAGAAAAAGACAAAATAAACCACTAAGGAGAAGTCAACACAAAATGCATCGGGTAAACTTTTCTCATAAGTTAAACTGAAAAACCATCAATTTTAGCTAAGGAAACTACTGAAATCGGTTGTGTCCGCTGGTTTAATTGAAAAATTGCATCTGAATCTTTTTAGTTGCAAATGTAAACCTTGTGCATCCGGGTGGTTTTCCAAGAGAGCTATGCATTTTCCTTCCAGTGGACAAGATGGAACCCAGCAAATAATGGCCAGGAGGGGAAAGAAGGGACTGCAGAAGTAGAGCGTGGCTGATAGGATTCTGGAATAATATGAGAGAAGCAACAGAATCAGGACACTATATACTTTCTCCACTCAGCCTCAGTGAGGCCTTGATTAGACTAAAAAAGTTGTTCTTTTCACATCAAGTACCAACTGTACTCAAAGGTCGGCTTGCAGCTAAAGACCTCCATCTACTTCCCCAAGAGAGAAGCACTCGAGTGGTTTTCCATGGGGCATGTTCTCAGGGACCAAAGTTTGTGACCACCAACTGTTGTCTAAACTGCCAGTGTCTGCCTGCCAGCAAGTCAGCATAGTCTTTGGAACTACCTGTACCCCCATCAAAGGCAAACCTAGCCTTAACAGTAATGTCAACAGAAGCTGAGAGGCCCACCTCCACTTGCCTCTCTGGCTCAGAGTCAACATGCAATAGAGGCCAGCAGGGCGCCTCCCACGATGCCAAGGTGCCTAGCATGCTCAGGAGTGAGATGCTTTAGCTTCAGTGTGAAGGCTTTTGTTTAGGAGGCCAGCAGGGTAAACTTTTGGGGCTGGGTGCAGGGGGGGAAGATTAGCACTATGTATGGATCCAGGGCTGCAGGCTATCCAGGAGTATTAAGAGGAACAAGTGAGTTCCCACTGGGTACAGCCCTGGCCCTAGGAGATTGATTTCATAAACATTTCTGGACTAAACATTCTCACTGAAGAACAGATCCAATTTTAGAGGCCACAGAACTGGGAAATGGCATTCATTCAGGAGCATTCGAAGAGTGAATAAAAACCCTGAGATCAGAAAGGAAGGAAGGAGCGCCTACAGTGGAGGATCCATCCTCCCCAGTTCCTATCTAAGCCAGTACACAAGGATCGTAGCATCCTATCCTTCCGAGAACTAGTTTTATATCATAGCAGTTTGCTGAACCAGGAACAAAAATCTTAACTTCAAATCTGAAGTTCCTGGATGGTGAAAGCTAAAGTAGCTTGCTCACTCTTGATTGAAGCAACACGTGATTGAAATCTGGGAAACAGCTGCAACTGCAGCCCTGCCCAAACTGGGGTAAGCCCAGGGGAAGCTCCAGAACAATTCTGTACTCTGTACATTGGAAGGATAAAAACGTCCAGATCCAAGTCACACGCCCACAAGTATCACTATCAGGATGAGCAGCTCGATGAAAACCAAAATCTTAACACATGCACCTAGGATTAATACTGAATAATTAGAAATGGCTACTTAAAAAATAACCCCCATTTGAGTATCTGAGATGTTTCCTCCCCCAACAGCGGCTTTTGACCTTCCCCCAGCAGCATCAATCAAAACTGGTACAATTTTCAATTCTTTGTTTTCATAACTAAAACTTCACGCACACTGCCTTTCACTTCCCCTCACCCCACTCTGGTAGAAAAAAAAAGATACCCTATCTTTAAAATAAATAGCAACGAAGTGCTCAGTTCTATGTAAAGTATGAATATTTATTTCAGGCTTTAGATCCCAATCAATTCCAAAAAAACAAAATCTGATTTCTCTCAAGAGTAGCTGTAGCCTCCATGTTGGGGTGATGTCATAGAGGCAGAAGCAGCACACTTCATCAGGATTAGCAAGAGTAAGTCCCTGATGCCCACTGCATCCCAGCCTTAGGAAGGGAAAGAAACAAAGTTCACCACCACGGGCTGAACAAATGCACACGCACTACTGGAAAGGAGCAGCTAAACCTTGCTTGGCAAATTGGCTTTTTTTTTTAAGTTTGTTTTGTGGGTTTTTTTGTTTTTTTTTTGGTTTTGTGTTTTTTTCCCCATTTTCTTTTGCTACCCAATATATGCAGCACTCGTGGACGCCCAGTGAGCTCCCAGCTTTAAACACATCATGTCTTAAACAGACTAATTCTTCAAGAATCTAAAAACAGACAAACGTGTTTTGCTGTGAACATTCTGCAGAGATGAAGTGAGGTGGGAGTTTGAAGGGTGGTGGCTTTTTTTTTTCTTTAAAAAGAATCAATACAGTGATGGAAGGGTAAAGAATGCAAGAATTCAGACATTCTGTGGAGGGTACTTTCTCTCCAGTAAAGGTCCATAAAAAGGAGCAAACTGAGATCCGCAGGGAGTCAGCAGGAGCTGTGTGTTTCCCCACCCCATGAGTAAGTTTTTGCTGAGGGGCCACCATAGATCCCCACTTGCTCCCCTCCCTTTGGCCTGAGACGTCAGGGCAGTACAGGGGCACTGAAGGAACATGTCACGACTCTTCGTTCCCAGAATCATCATCATCATAACAGTCGGCGTCCTCTTCCTCCTCGTCTTCATCATCAATGTCGTCATCATACAAGTCGTCATACAGCAGATCTGAGCTGTTGTCATTGGAAGGCACTTTAGTTTTGATGCAGTATTCTGCCAGGGTTGTGGGGACCTTCACTCCATCCTTTTCTGCTTCAGCCTTAGTGGCCGAGACCTGTTTCCTGAAGAGAGGATGACACAATGGTTTGAGAGGATGTAACTAACACACACTGGCCTCCAACTCTAATCCTCTTGCCCTTAAGTCTCCTTATGCGGGGATTACGAACAAAACCCATCGTACTTGTCTTAAACCTATTTTTTAAGAAACTTGTAACTGACTATAATCAATAAATATTCTCATCACTCACTTTGCAAACTCCAGATAAAACAGATACCCTGCAGCACACGAAGGCACCACTGGGTACCATCATAGAGGCTCCTTGCTTATAGCCTTGTTTGAGACAAAAATCTCTTCACTGATACATGGATCAAGCTAGCTAATCCTGTCTTTGCCTCCCATCTCCTGCTGAGGGCTCAGGGATTACAGATGCATGCGCACTACTGGCTTTTTATGTGCGCTCTGAATTTAAGAGTCAGCCTTGTTTGTGTGTGTGTATGGGGGGGGGGGGGTGTTGGGAATCAAACCCAGGGTGTGTATCAAGCATTTCAGCCAGCTCTTAGCTAGAGCCCAGCATATCTGTGGTGCCTTGAATGCTGCTTCCCTTGGCTACTAGGTCCCTCCCCAAGTCACTAAGTCTCACTGGTTTGGAGTGCGCACTCTTCATTAGAAGATGCCCTGTCTTCCTCAGTCTCCCATCACTTAGTGGTGGGCGTGTCAGGTAACAGGTGTACAGCAAATGCTGGTTGTTTAAGTGTAAAATAGTTTCATCCCAAAAGTACAAAAACCAAAGGCATCAAGATGGAGGATTGGAAAAACTGAAAACATAAGAACAACGCTTCCCTGAAGCTTTAGTTTGTCTCAGGCTTTGCACATATTCCTGTAGCTGCTATAGATCTTTACCACTTACACTACTTACTTTTTTTCTTTTTTTTAAGATTTATTTATACATCTTTATAAACATAAATATAAATAAAATATAAACATTTATTTATACAGTGTTCTGTCTGCACACCAGAAAAGGACACCAGATTTCAATATAGATGGTTGTAAGCAACCATGTGGTTGCTGGGGATTGAACTCAGGTCCTCTGAGCCATCTCTCCAGCCCCTCGATTCTTGACATAAATAATTCAACCCCAGTACTCAGGAGGCAGAGGCTGATCTCTGTGTTCAAAGCTAGCCTGCTTTAAAGAACATCCGCCCCATTTTTTCCCCCCCCCCCCCCCCCGCTTTCTAATGAGCTTATTTTTTGTTTTGTTTTTGTTTCTGTCCTGGGTTCTCTTAGATTCCTACTCCGTAAGTCTGAGAGTTGTTTTAAAAATAGCAGGATATTGAAGTTTGTGCGTGAGCAGTGAGGTCCAGAATGCCAGTCTGACTCACCTGATGATCTCAGCATACTCCTTGTCTTTTCCTTTACTGTCCCTCCATTTCCTGAACATAACTGAAGCATCCACGTTGGCTGGAGAAAAGGTGTTGGGCTCATTAAGCAGTGAGATTACACTTAACAGGATAGTCCTGAAAAGCAAAGAAACGACTGTGAAAACCCATGTTCAGAAAGTAGTTTTTAAAGAAGTTACAGTCAGTTTTTAAAGTTTTTCACCCTTAAAATATCTGATACAAATGTGAGGTTATATTTGAAGACTTATGAAAAGCGATGATACGTCGCTTTTGTTTTGTTTTGGGAGTTGGTGAGATGGCCCAGCAGGTAAAGGTGCTTGCCACCAAGCCTGGGGACTTGACTTTGATAGCCAGGATGAACACGACAAGAAGAGAATAGCTACCCCAAGTTGTTCTCACACTTCTGCTTAGATGCCAAATATACATACACAGTAAATATGATAATAGTTCAGAGGTTAACAGCACTGCCTGCTCTTTCAGAGGTCCTGAGTTCAATTCCCAACAACACATGGTGGCTCATAGCCATTTGTAATGAGATCTGATGCCCTCTTCTGGCCTGCAGGTGGACATGCAGGGAGAATGCTGTTAGCATTGTGTGTGTGTGTGTGTGTGTGTGTGTGTGTGTGTGTAAAACCTATTAGGATTAGGACCAGAAGTCATTTACCCCGGCTGCCAGAACTCCAGGTAAGCAGCCTGCCTGTGTACCTACACAACTCTCAGTGCCCCCAATCATCCCCAACATCCCCACTTCTCACAGTCTTGACCCAGCCCCCAATACAAGCAGAGACTCCCTCCTGGAACACAGGCCTTGCAGACGACCAACAGAACTCCAGCCCCAAACTCAAGAGGTGCCCTGCTTATTCCATAAGAGACCACACTGGCCACCAGAAGTACAAGTGAAGACCTCCTGCTCAACCACAGGCCTGAAGACCAGAGAGGAAACTCTTGAGGCGGCACCTAGACTTGTATCACCCCAAACACAACAGCCTAGAGGCCAGTGTAAAGGCACAGTAACAGCCAGGTAATGTGTCACCTGAGTCCAGCTATCCCACCACAGCCCCAACTATTCCAACACAGCTGGAGCACATGAAAACATCCTTAAAACCAACTTTACGTAGATGACCGAGGGCCTCAGGGAGGAAATGAATAAACTACAGAAATCAAGGAAGAGACTAACAAAAGGTTGAAGGAAATAAAAGGCCAAAAAGAAAAAGAAAGTTGTAGGAGACAAAACTGTCCAAGACCTGAAAATGGAAATAGAAGTAATAGAGAAAATACAAACTGAAGGAATTCTAGAAGGAAAACTTTAGTTAAGTGAAGAGGAACTACAGAGGTCAGCTTTGCCAGCAGAATACAAGAGATGAGGGGGCTGGAGAGATGGCTCAGCGGTTAAGAGCACTGACTCTTCTTCCAAAGGTCCTGAGCTCAATTCCCAGCAACCACATGGTGGCTCACAACCATCTGTAATGAGATCTGGTGCCCTCTCCTGGGGTGCAGGTACACATGCAGGCAGAATACTGTATACATAATAAATAAATAAATATTTTAAAAAAAAAAAAAAGAATACAAGAAAGAAATGAGACTCTCAGGCATTGATGACAGCATAGAAGAAATAGATACATAGTAAAAGGAAATGTTAACTATAAAAAATTCTTGACATAAAACATTTAGGAAATATGGGACACTGTGAAAAGACCAAACCTGAGAATAATAGAAATAGAAGGAGAAGAAACCCAGTTTAAGGGCTCAGAAAATATTTCAACAAGATCATATGGGGGCTGGAGAGACGGCTCAGTGGTTAAGAGCATTGCCTGATCTTCCAAAGGTCCTGAGTTCAATTCCTCACAACCATCTGTAATGAGGTCTGGTGCCCTTTTCTGGCCTGCAGACATATACACAAACAGAATATTGCATACACAAATAAATAAATAAATCTACTTATTTATTTATTTAAAGAATGGGATTATATAAGAAAATGTTCCTAACCTAAAGAAGGACATGCCTATAAAGCCACAAGAAGCTTACAGAACACCAAATAGACTGGAGAAGAAAAGAAAGTCCCTCTGCCACATAATATCACTAAATACACATAACAAACAAAGAATATCAAAAGTTATAAGGGAAAAAGACCAAGTAACATAGAAAGGCATACCTGAATTACATCCGACTTCTCAAAGGAAACTCAAAGTCAGAAGGGCCTGAACAGATGTGCTGCAGACTCTTTAAGAGACCACACAGCAAAACTTTCAATCACCAAAGATGGAGAAAACAAGATATTCCATGATAAAGTCAATTTAAATAGTATTCACAAATCCATCCCTTCAGAAAGTCCTAGAAAAAAAACTCTAACCTAAGGAGGTTAACTATACCTACGAAATCATAGGAAATAACTTCCCACCAGCAAAACCAAAAGAAACACACACACACACACACACACACACATCACCACCACTAACAACAACAACAAAACAACAGTAATTAACAATCACTGGTCATTGCTATCAATAGACTCAATTCCCCAGTAAAGAGACACAGACTAACAGAATGGATTGAAAACAGAATCCATCCTTCTGCTATGCCCAAGAAACATACCTTAGCATCTATATATAGAGGAAAGGGTTGGAAAAAGATTTTCCAATTAAATGAAAGCTAGTGTAGCAATTCTACTATCTAACAAAATAGACTTCAATCCAAAACTAAGAGATAGGGGAGCTCCCAGCACTCGGGAGGCAGAAGCAGGTGGATCTCTGTGAGTTCAAGGCCAGCTTGGTCTACAAGAGCTAGTTCCAGGACAAGCTCCAGAGAAATTTTGTTTCAAAAGAGAGAAAGGGGGAGGGGGAGAAGGAAGAGAGGGAGGAAGGAAGGAAGGAAGGAAGGAAGGAAGGAAGGAAGGAAGGAAGG